GAAGAAGATAAGGCAAAACGAAGAAGTCGGAATTGTTGATAAACCGATGCCAGGTGTCTCTCATAAAGATGTGCTGATGCATCTTTCGATGGTTCGCAAGTATTTGGAAGAGAATTTTACACATTACAATTCATATTATGATGTCGAAGATATGATCGAAAAGAACGCTTTAATTAATCATACTCAACGTAAAATCACGGATTTCTTTAAGTAAATTTATGTATGTGTGTGTAGTATTTAATAAATGTTGACAAGAATCATGTTTTGCATATAGTTTGCATAAAAGAGCGACCCGGATATAAGAGCCACTTTTTGATTCCCCGATTGCGCTCTTATAAGCGGATTCGACTGTATTCGAAATCATGTTAGGGGAAGTAATAGCATAAATAGTTCGTTTGGTGGACATTGTTTATGGATGGAGATGATGTTGATGTTTGTTTCATGTTTGTTGAATGGTTGTTTTATTTTGTGCTTGGAGTTGACGAAGCCTGTTCATTTTCTGATTTTCATCTAGAATCAATAAATGAAGGTATATTAAATGATGTTTTTAAAGACTATCTTTTTTTCATCTATCATACTTGCTTTAGCTTTGTTTTTCAGTATTGTCTGTCTTGAACGTTTTCGAATCAGTTCTTTTATTGTGTTTCTCTGATTTCTGTTCCCAACGACCAGTTTCGTTTCGATTATTGGAGTATTTGCAAATGTTTCTTGAAAGATACGGTGTATGTCGCGCTTACATGTATTGAATCGATTCTCATGTGTATAATGAATTATAAGTTTATTTTGAAATTCGTTTGGTTTCTTATTCTGTTGAATAGTGGCTTCTTGAATTAAATGTTCATTATCGGTCGTAAGTGTTGCAATTCTCATGCCGACTTGAGATTGTTGTCGACTTGGTTGTCCAGATAATGCAATACACATTTGTAAGAATTGATCTTCATTATCAAGAAATGGTAGAAATGATCGAGATGATGTGTAGCCAGAAAAAAAATTTCAAAATATCTTGTCGATAAATGAAGAAGGGTAACTATAGAAAAAAAAGCTATGAGAATAATAAGTGTATCAACAATAAACTTACCCATTGTACAAAAATGTTGATTTGATATATCTTCTCTCATCATTGAACGATTGAAAAGTTGATGAATATTTGATTGCACGTCGAAGACTTGTTTGTACAATGTTATCGAATACATGTCGAGGATGATCGGAAATAAATGATACAGGGTGTCCAGTAAGTCACCCAACGACTTTGAAAAAGATTTTATTTTCTATCTTGTTATACATCTGGTTTTTTCTTGTTGTTTTAGATAGTAGGTAACTTCACTTACTTATCAAACATATAGATATGTCTTTAACTCGTACAACAAAAGAAAGAGTCTCCATGGTACGACTTTTCTCAAAATTTGAAAACGCACATGTAGTTTAAAGAAAATGGAAATATCATTTTGATACTCCTCCGCCAGCTTTATCTACGATTTTGACTGTAAATCAGAGGTTTGAAGAAACAGGAAGTGTAGAAGATTTACAACGCAGCGGTCGGCCGGTAGCCACATTAACTGCAGACAAGTTAGAAGAGATCGAAGAAATGGTTACCACCAGTCCAAACTTATCGGTTCGACAAGGTTCGGTTCAGGCTGGCATTAGCAAAAGGAGTTATCATGATGCTATGAATATACTTCACCTAAAGCCATATCATCCAAGTCTAATCGTCAACCTGAACGAAGACGACTTCGACCGACGCAGTAAATTTTGCGAAATGTGGCTTGAAAAATTTAACAACGACCCTAACCTGATTGACCATATTTTTTGGAGCGACGAGGCCAAATTTAATAGGAATGGAGTTGTCAATGGACACAATTGCACGTACTGGTCCAGTGAAAATCCTCATATAAAATTCGAGGTGCCAAACACAAAACAAGGGGTTATGGTATGGTGCGGATTAACTTCAAGTGGACTTCTCGGTCCTTACTTTTTCAAGGAAACAGTTACTGGTCCGGTTTACAAACAAATGTTAATCGACTACGCATGGCCTTATTTGAAGCACAAGAGGCTATACTTCCAACATGATGGTGCAGGACCTCACTATGCTATTGTGGTGCGTGATTGGCTCGATGAAAAATTTCCTGGTCGTTGGATTGGGAGACGTGGATCCTTTGACTGGCCAGCACGGCCACCTGATTTAACACCTTGCGACTTTTTCCTTTGGGGATATCTAAAAGACATTGTGTTTAGAGAACCATTTGCTACAATCGCACAACTCCAGAACAAGATCGAACAAGCCTGTGCTCATGTGACATACAAAATGTGCGAAGAAGCATGTCACTCGGTGGCGCATCGTCTTCGCGACTGTTTGGACAATGAAGGACAATTTCTATCGTACTAATTTTATTGTATTACACAATACGTTCAGTACCTTGTAATTTCATAGTGTCATCAGATGATAAAGATCTGTAGTTAATAATAAAAAGGATTTGAAAGTCGTTCGGTGACTTAATGGATACCCTGTACAACATAGGGTTCTGCTGCTGGTTTATGATAGACCGAGGTTGATAGGGTGCTATTGATATTTGTAAGGAGAACATCAAGAAATGGAAGGCTTTTGCCGATTTTATATTCTAATTTAATATTTGGATGCCAAGTATTTGCATTTTCTATTATTTTCTTCAATTCATTTTCCGATTTATTCCATGTCATAAAAACATCATCAATATATCTATTAAAAAGT